CAAAGGGCTGTGGGCTGAGGGACTAGGGTTTATAGGGTTTCGGGTTTCGATCAGGGTTTATAGGGTTACGGGTTTCGGGTTTGGGGTTTAGGGTTTCGGGTTTAGGCTTTAGGGTTTCGGATTTAAAGGGCTTTTGTGCGCATAAAAACCATGTCGGTCGCTCGCTGAGTGTTTCAACACTTCGCATGCGCTCATGTGCTTGCGAGGTGTTGTTATGAGATGTTTTCGGCTGCAGATCGCTGGCCCAAACAAGTCCCACCAAAGGGTTAGTGCAGTCTTGGCCAAAACACACTTGCGTGTGGCTTCAACAGCGGTTTCGGGTCGAGGGTTGAGGGTTCAGGGTCTAGGGTGGGTGCCGGTCTTGGTCGCGGGGCCATTGGGGGGTGGCTTGGAAGCGCTTTCAGTGAGGACCTACTTCAAAGCAACTCCCAAGTGAATTTAGAGGGTTTACAGTCCTTGCCCCCCCCCCCCCCCCAATTCGAAACCCGAAACCCGAAGACCCAAGAAAGGTAATCCCTAAGTCGAAAGCCCACATCGTCGTGCTGGCTGAAGGTTTTTAGGAGTGTGGGTTTAGGCTTGAGGGTTTACGAAGTTTAGCGGGGTGGGAAGTTTAGGGGGTTTAGGAAGTTCGAGGGTTTTGAAAGTTTCGGGTTGGATGCTTGCCCCCTTAGACCAACAGTCCTTAGTAGGGATGATAGTACCCCCTACTATAATCCCTACTCAGGACTGCTAGTACAAGGGGGAACACCCCAACCCTAAGCCCTAAACCCAAAACCCAAAACCCAAAACCCTAAACCCTAAACCTAAGTCTCGGGTTCAGAAGGTTTGCACATTGGCCTGGCGACTTCGGCTTGACCTTCAAAGCAAACCCTGCTGGAGCCCCCTAAACCCTAAACCCTAAACCCTAAACCCTAAACCCTAAACCCTAAACCATAAACCCTAAACCCTAAACCCTAAACCCTGTGCTGTCACAGGGTCCCTTTCAAGGTCCCTGTCAAGGTTTAGGACTTAGGCTTTCGGGTTGAGGGTTCAGGGTGAAGAGTTTAGGGTTCAGGGTTTGGGGTGCAGGAAACCCTAAACCATCAACCCTAAACCCTAAACCCTAAAGCTTAAACCCTAGACCCTAGACCCTAAACCCTAGGGGGTTTGGAATTCGGGCTTAGGGCCGTCCTCCGCAGTCACGCCGTGCTCTGCCAAAACCGCAGGCACTGCAGCTTGGATTCCTCTGGGCTTTTGTCATCGAGCCAATGATCCCTTTAGGGCCTTTTACGGTTTAGGGTGTAGGGTCTAGGGTTTACGGGGGTTTAGGGTTTAGGGTTTAAGGCCTTTACGGTTTAGGGTTTCGGGTTTAGGGCTTAGTGGGTCTTTACGTCTAGACTTTGGGAAGACCTTCTGTCTAAGGGTAAGTTACATGGTCCCCTACTATGGGGCCCCAAAATTGGGGACCCCCTTAAATACCCCCCCTAAACCCTAAACCCTAAACCCTAAACCCTAAACCCTAAACCCTAAACCCTAAACCCTAAACCCTAAACCCCCCCCTTACATACTCGAAACAGCCCAACCCTCTAAGGCAGGTACAGGGCCGCATCTAGGAACCATGGCATAACCCTAAACCCTAAACCCTAAACCCTAAACCCTAAACCCTAAACCCTAAACCCTAAACCCGAAACCCTAAACCCTAAATCCTAAACCCTAAACCCTAAACCCTAAACCAGCACTCCAAGGCTCCCTAAGCTTCTCGAAGGCTCCGAGGTACCTTCCTCCCCTTGGGCCCGCCTCCGTTAAGAACCTGACGACTGGCTACAAGTCAGTGCTAACAGTTTAGGGTTTAGGGTTTGGGGTTTGGGGTTTAGGGGTTTGGGGTTTAGGGTTTAGGGTACTCCAGATAAGGTTCTAACCAACTGTATCTGCCCAGACCCCACTTTAGACAGAGCCTGAAAAGTATGGCAGGAACCCTAGGCTCGAACCCTAAACCCTAAGGTGCAGATTTAGGCTTAAGGGTTCGGGGCTCATGGGCTTCGGAGGTTTTCCGGCTGAGACTTAGGGTTTGGGGGGGGTAGGGTTTCGGGTTTAGGGATGGAACCCGAAGACGCGAAGCCCTGAGCCGCCAAGAAAGCTTCCCTTCGCACTGTCGGAGATCCAAGGCACGTTGCGCAAACATCTCCGTATCTTCAGTGCCTCGTTGGCGGATTCCGCAGGCCCTAAACCCTCAACCAAGCTTAGGGCTTAGGGCCGACGCAGCCGCGGAAACTTGAAGCCTACATGCTCTGGTTCTGCTCAAGTAGATAAGGTTCAGGATTTAAGGTTGAGTGCGTTTAAGGCTTTTGGGGCTTTTTTTGGGCTCAACCTCTACATCCCGCCTGAAACCTGAAACCTAAACCCTTGAGCACACAAAAATAGAATCGCAAGAAGAAGAAAAGGACAAAGAAGAAGAAGAAAGCCACCAATAAGAACGATGATGACATTCATGCTGGCATTGACATGACCAAGAATAATGGCA